AAAAGTATATTATTTATGTACTGAATGTACATTATACAAAATAATGTAATTTTAGTATTCAAATAATATATTTTCTCATCATAAAAGGTACATATTTAATAAACTAAAAGTACATTATTTGTATATGGAATATATATTATTTGGTAGTATACAAAATAATGTACTTTTAATACTCAAATAATATACTTTATATACACAAATAATGTATTTATTTTCCGGTCCACATAGTTGTCTGTGTCATGGTCCACACAGTTATCTGTGACATGGTCCACACAATAATGACTGATAAAGAAAGCTTGCACGCCAAATGATAAAAAAATAAAAATAATAAAATAATCTACATAAGCTTGAAATTGATAAAATTTCAGGGATGAGTTAGCTTTAGGGGGAAACTTTTATTAAAGAATTAGTTTTTTATGTGCATTGCACGAATGTGATAATGCCCAATATTTATTTTTAAATAATTATTTTAAAGTATATCAATGCAAGACTATATAGGAGATGTTCACACATAGAGAGTGTTATGTGCAATTGGGTTACTGGTGATAGCATAAAGAGCAGTGTTATGCAATGAGATTATGGTGTAGGAAGTTATGGATTTGTCTTGTTGTGTATATGACTAGAATCTTAGTTGTACTATGAACTCTAGATTTTGCAAGCGTGTGTTGATATTTGGCAATGGTAGTTTGTCCACATACATATTTCATGCGTTTGTGAGATGTGTGTCGTAAATTCTCATGTGAAAGTATTCACCAAAATATTAATGATAGAGTTAATGATCTGGCATGTATGCAAATCCGTAAACTATCGTATGAAAATAGAAGGAAAATGTCCAAACTTGTGTATGTAAAAGTGTATATGAAGAATCGAAAATTGGCCCTCAATTAGTTTATTTTATTGAGTGTATTTGTTTAGAGAGTGTTGTAGAGAGAATGTAGAGGAGAAGTGGAAAGGACCCCCCTCTAATGAAGGGCTAGGGCCCTTTGTATAAGCATTTGACTAGTACTCGATACCGAATAGATGTACAAAATGTGTAGAGTGGTATACTCAGAGTATATTCCCTATCAAAGGGCCCACAAGCTACGTAGGCAACCCTAGACTAGATAACATCACCTTGGTGGGCTTGTAGGTAGCCCGAGAAAGTAATAAGAACAATATATACTTTTTATTAAATTTTTTTCTTATTGTTCTTCACCCCCTTTCATTTTCATTGTTAGGCCCGCAACGTAGGGTAAGCGGCTCAAGAGAGAAAAAAAATGGTCTCGGGCTTGCAAGTTAAGGTAAGGTAGGCGGCTCGCATCTCATACGTCGTCAACAAGAAGTAGTAGGCGGCCCGTACGCACTTTCACTCGGGTTAGTTAGACGTGATCCTCGGCCTTGTGTGCACATCTCCACCTGAGCCTACAAGGCAAGGTACGCATCTTAGCGTGCATAAAAAAAAATGGGGCCCACAAAGTAGGGTAGGTGGCCTACATCTCTCGTACGTGCCAGCAAGGAGTAGCAGGCGTCCCATATACACCTTCACTGAGTTAGTAAGACGCGATCATTGGCCTGGTGTGCACATCTCCACCTAGGCCTACAGGGCAAGGTGCGCAGCACAACTGTAACACCGTACCCTCAAAATTCATCTACCAAAAATTTCCTTAAATAACTAAAGGATCAAAACGTACTATAAATGGAATTACTAAAGATAGAAAAATCCATAAACCAAATATGGCATAATTGAACTTATAACTGAAATTTCAAGTCTCAAAATAACTAAGGGTGAAATCGCCACATCTAATCCAACACAAACTAGATGCAATGCTCTAAATTGTAACATCCAATAACCCACTTAACTTAGAAATTAAAGAAAATAATATAATTTGAATCAACAACTTTAAAATATCATAATGGACAAGGCGTGGAATCGGCGAGTAAGTCAAGTGTGGAGGGTAAAATACCAGTCAGATTGCCATCTAGTTGATCGGTGGAGCACGGCCTGGGATGTTGGCAGAGACATGAAGACAGGTGGTCGGTTCGGGTAGAGCTATGGAATCGGTCAACCTAACGTAGCCTGACGGGAGGAAGGATGGTCGATTTAATCATTCGGGGCAACCGAGCGAGACATTTAAGAAGCTAGACAGGTGGCCTGATGGGAGATAGAGTCAGCCTGTCGGGTGGCTGGATGGGAGATATAATCAGCCTGACGGGTGGTGGGATGGTTGATAGGATTAGCCTACCTGTTTGGGCAGTCGATAAGGTGGTTGCGATAACCCGTCGAGGAACCAGATGAGAGATGCCAGTAGTCAGAGGAGTGGTCGAGGAACGAAGCCCCAGGGGTAAATACTCGGGTGGAGTGCTGAGTAAGACTCGCTTGACAGAGGGTAGGTGGCCGAGTGCTCAGAGGAGTTGCACTTGGAAGCGTGGGAGCGAAAGGACGACTGAACGATTCAGTTTACCAAAGGGGAGATGACTTGCCGACTCCAAGGAGGACTCAGACAAATGCAAAGGATACGGCCAAATCCAGAAAAGATTTGAGCGGATCTTGCGGAAGGCGACGGGAAACACGAAAGCTATAAGGAAAGCATATCAATTGTATTTAGGAAAGAAGGTCAATTGTATTTATGGCAGGTTAGAGTTACCTAATTTGGATCCTTTATTTCTTGTATAAATAGACCTAAGCTAAGATACCTTGAAAAAGGTTAAGCTTTTCACGCATACACAAATCAATAAAGAGAATTATTGTTTTTGCCGCCATCACTGCCTTAATTTTTCGACTGTGTTGGCTCGCCGTTTGATTATTGCAGTGGTCAATAAAATCACCATTAACTATGTATGTAATTTTTATTAACTTGCATTGAGATGAATCATGTATGAGTACTCCTCCGTAAGATATATTTTAATTGCATCCCTTTTACGTATACAGTGGAAAATCACAAATTTCTACGTCACAATCTTTTTCTCCCCGACCACTTAACAGTGTCGAATTATTGCTACGCGATTCATCATAATTTAACGACACCAAACAAAAGATGCATATGTTGTAATTGCGGTTTTCTCCGTAGTTGTCATCGTCGTCGTCTGCCTCTCCAACTCTTCCGACCAACTTCACCGTCACGTTCAACGGTAGCTTTGCTTCCCATCCCTTCCTGATCGAGGTTGAAATGGAATCGTAGTAATTCCCACCATCGTCCCTCTTCACGAAAGGAAAAACGTTAACCACCGTCGTCTTTTGGATTCCTTGGTTGAACCCTGTTCGGAACATCGCGATGGAGAGCAGATGGTCTTCGTAGGAAATGCTGACGGCGAATTTCTGGTAGAGCAACCGCGTCATGTTGCTCCGGTTCGTGATCCGGAAGGTAACGTTCCAGTCTCCGACGAATTCCATGGCCGATGTGTTTAAGGTTGCCGTGACGTTTTGCACGTTGAATTGGTGTCGGATCGATTGGTCGTTTTCCTGCTGCATGCGGTTGGGCAGATAGTAACCAATCATGACCAGCATGATCAGCGCGTAAATCCCGATCTCGACACTGTCATCCGCCTCCGGCGTTTCTATGGCCTCCGGTGGCCCGATCTCCAATGCGGCCAAGGTGACTCTTGGGGTGCTGTTTTGTGGCTCCTCCGTTTTTACTGGGACGTAACCTTCTTGCCGTGATAGGACGCTGCCGGAACCCTGGGAATTCATCATGGCGATAAGATCGAAACAAATGTAACTAACTGTGAGGCTGATAAAATACCAACAAACAAATCTTACCAGCCTGAAGATGTTGGAAATCAGGCTTCAATTATATATAATGGGTACTAACATGTATGGACTGTATGCCATGAATCGTGATTGAGAGTGGTTAAGATTCATTTACTAATTATAAATACCCACGATTTGGATTTCCGAAATTAAAGGAGATATGAATGTGGTAAATAGCTAATGTTTTTTTTTTTTTTCCTCCAAAAGTATGGAAAAACCAATATTTGGTTTATAGACTTTTGGGGCAGTCTATCGGTGGTCCAACACAACAAGTAGTAGTTAGTCGGAAATTAACAATGTACTCTCAATCTCTCATGTATATTAGAATGTTCAACCTCGTGTGCCCATGCCTTTTATACAGATCCGGGTGACTATTGCACTCAACCACCCATTAATGCATTAAATGAACTAATTATGAGTAATAAAAGACTAAATACAAGCTAATCATTGTCAGCTCGGTGTTCTCTTCCGCGACGTGCTTCATTATTGCCCTTAACACCTTCTAATTGCTCATTAATGACTCAGCTCAACGGATTACTCAGATTCTTCCCCTCTCGGTCTTCCCTCACCAACCCCTTCAATCAATTGGCTCTGGCTCTACTACCCACCCGGTTTCATCTGCCTGACTCCACTCGTCTGTCTTAGCACTCTCCCGGCTCCACCTGCCTGACTTCTCTACTCCTCCGACTTCACCATCCACCCGTCTCAACCTGACTAACTCCTCCACTCATTTGATTTCGTCCGCTGGCTCTTCTACTCGTTCGGTACCCTCCGCCTGATTCCTCCACCCACTCGGTTTCTCTAAGCCCTCAACAGGGTGGCTCATTCACTCTCCCGACCCAAGCCTCCTTCACTTAGACGGGTGATTAATGGGATCCGACTGCTTCCTTTCCTAACCCGACTCCTTGGATGAGTTCCTGCTTGACTGGTCTCATTTCCTTCTCAATTGGTCTGACCACTTGCGCTGACCCGCTCTACCATCAGCCATCTCTCGCCTTTGTTATCCACCTACCTACTCATCTCGTCTCGTTATGCCTGTTAATCCGTTTGGCATGTCCGGTCTTTTGGGTTTATATCCAATCATCTAGTCCCTCACTTTCTTGTACTTGTGCAACTTTAGTACGAGAAAGTATCCTTAACAAATGGTCAGGCATCTCACCGAGTGCTACCTTTGAGAGGATATTAGCTTTTGTGTTTTCAGACCGAGAGACGTGTTTCATTTCATAGGCCGTCAAATCGAACAAGAGTCCCTTAGTTGCCTCCTTGTAACGTGCGATCCTTTCATTCTTTGCCTCATAGGTCCCAGTAACTTGTCCGACTACCAGACGAGAGTCGGTTTTAATTCGGAGTCGACTCACTCCCAACGTCTTAGCCAACCGCAACCCTCTGAGCACGGCTTCATATTCAGTTTCATTGTTAGAGGCCTTAAACCCATATTCCAGGGCGTAATACAACCGAAAGCCTTCCAGAGTCATCAACATGACCCCCTCCACAATGTCTCGCTGTGGATGCTCCATCAACATGCAATTCCCACCAATCCCCTTCTTTAGGGACACATGGCATCTTTCATTCCTCATGAGTCGTGCACTCGACATTGAAGTCAACAAGGGTCTACCCCTTAATGGAAGGTTTCGGTTGATACTCAATCCCGAACTGAGTGAGCTCAACAGCCCATTTGAACAATCGGCCAGACTAAGCTTGTGACATCCCGTAAATCTAAATACTAATTGAGGGTTAATTGAAGAATTAATCCAAGCTTTCTTTGCTAATTCATTTCTAAAAATCCTAAAATTTAATAGTCGAGGGACTAGAATTGGACTAGTCACTTAGATCTATTGAGTGTACCTTGTGCTTCAGGAGTTGTGCCATTGTCCCCTTGTCTTTCTAACCTTAGTAAGGGTAGAATTGGCTTTTCACCCATGAATTGTTGTTCAAGCTACCCTAGCAAGACATTTCATTTCATTCTTTATTCAAGCCTAAGTCTCAAACACTCTAGCCTCTCTCTAAAATAACCTAGTTTATCCTTCAAGCAAGAAGGTGAACCTTCTAGCTTTGCAAGATATTCTATCAAGATTCCTACTTTCTTCTTCTTGAGCATAGGAAAGGGTAAGGTCCTTAGCTTTTTGGTGTTTTAAGCCATCTTTTGGGTGTCTTTATTGAAAGTTAGAATCTTTCTTGTGTTTTTGCTTGTGTAAGAAGTTGGTGAGGAAGAAGAGCTCTAGGAAAGGCTTAAGAGGGTGGAAAAGAGTGGTTGTTGGTCTAGAAAGATAACCCATGCTATACAAAATCTATTTTCTTACCTAAATGATGATTATTGACTTCTATTTGATGTTCTTGGTGTGATTTGTGAGATTTGATGCATGATCTTGTGATGATGCATGTTTAGAGCTTGTTTTAGGTTTCTTGAATGCCATTGCTTGGCTATTTCTTGGGTTCAAGTTATATCTTTGTTGTGTGTGAGATTTTGGGTGTTTTGGACTTAAACTTGACCTTGATGATGAAAATCCCCGAAGGGAATGTAACACCCCGTGTTACGATCCCTAAAACCAATTAATCACTTAACCAATTATCCAAAGAAAGAATTAAATTACAATAATTAATTAGGAAAAGGCCCACTGTAGTCCGTGGGCCCTCATCCCTAAACCCAACCCCTAGTCCTAAAACGAATAGAGTTAGCAAGCCTATAGTATTTGGGCCCTAATTAGGACTCTTAGATATATAAATAGGGGACATAGGAGGCACCTAGAACCCCCACCACAATAATCTCTCACCACACAAGAAGTTCCAAGAATTCCCTTAGGAGAAATCAAGAAAGAAGAAAGCTTAAAGAAAGACCTGTAACACCCCGTGTTACGGCCTTCAATCCCGGATTAATTATTTAATTAATCCCGTTAATAATAATTAAATATGATTTAATTCGGTTAGGTTTCCCTTTAATTAATTAATAAGGCCCACCATGAACCGTGGGCCCTTGCCTAAATTAGAGCCTTAAGCCTATTAGGAATAAAGAAAGTAAACCTTTTACTATTCAGATTCTGATTAGGAATCCTAGACCTAGTTATCTATTAGGAATAAAGGAAGTAGGTCTTTTACTATTCAGATTATGATTAGGATTCTCTTTAATTAATTAATATGGTCCACTATGGACCATGGAACCCAATCCTTAGTCCCAAAAGGAATAGAATTAGCAAGCCTATAATATTAGTTCCTAATTAGGACTCCTAAATATATAAATAGGGGACTTAAGAGGCACCTAGAACCCCCCATCACAATAAACGACTCACCATCCCAAAAGAGCTCCAAGAATTCCCTTAGAAGAAATCAAGAAAGCAAGAAAGCTTAAAGAAAGACCCTTCATAGCCAAGGAATTAATTAAGGCTAAGAGGTAACCCATGTCTCAACAAAACCTATTTTCATAGCTATGATTCTCCCTTAGGGTTTCCCCCATATTATTGTGTATTGGCGAGATATGATGATTATTATTGATGTTTGATGTGATGATCCCATGAGGGATCTTGATGATCTTGATATTGGGAGATTCTTGATGATTATATAGAGTTCTTGATGATTATGTGTTGTTCTTGATAATTGTGTGATGCTCTTGATGTTTGTGTGTTATTCTTACCGAATCTTGCAATTAGAAGACGAACCGTATACTTGTTGATATAAAAGTGATTAGAACCCTAGGTTGTATCGTATGATCTTATTCTTGGATTATCGGGTGGGGAAATCGCATGTTTGGGTGTTGATTATATTAGAAAAGCATGATAGGTTATGTGCCGTTCGTTTCTCGTATTTGATCCGTTAATTGTCTACGTGTTAATTATTAGTTGCGTTGTAAAGTGTCTAAGCATGGTTTCGGGTTCCACAAAGGTTCCCGGGACGTTATTGTGTGAAAAGAGTCAGTGGGGGGTAGGTGGGGGCTAGGGGACCCGCCACCTACCCATGACCGAGAAAACACCGCCTGGCAGCGGGTAGCCGGCGGGCGGGCAGCTGCCGCCGGCGACCCGCTGCCCGGAACAGTGCACTCCGGTGGGCAGCCGGCGGGTGGCCCCCCACCCACCGGCTACCCGCTGGAAATTCATCCCACCCGGGATCCCGGCTTCCCCGTTTGATGTTCCCCCGTTCCCCGTGGTGTCCCAACGGACTCCGTTTATCGTGCATATGTCTAGTTTGATATTTCGGGTACCGTTCGTAGGTTTACGAGTCTACTATATTGCATGCTAGTTGAATTGGTATCCCGTTGACCTAGGTGGAAGGAGTATGAACCCCTTAGGACTATTCTTAGTATGTGAAGGATCACGCATAGGTTTTGTTATACGCTTTCTCCCCCTTCCCAATATGTAATATGGGTTGCATGTGCTTGCTATGTGATATGTGTGTGTGTTACCCCAATTCGGTTGCGATCGGATTGGTTATCCTGAGCTGCGGTTCAGAAGCTGGCTGCGGTTAGATTGATACTCTTGGGCTGCGGTCCACCGTTTGGTTGCGATCAAACGTTTCTATACGAGCTGCGGTTCGTCCTCTTTCCTGGCTGCGGTCAGATGACATCCTCCTGGGCTGCGGTCCACTGTTTGGTTGCGATCAAACACTATGATGAGCTGCGGTTCATCGGTCGGTTGCGATCGACCCCTCCGTATTGCGATACGGGGCAGGGTGCTGTGGGGCCGTGTCAGAGCTATATGCGCTGACCCTCATGTATGGGCATGCGATTGGTCCTGTGGCGCCAACAAAGTGTGCTATGTGTTGTGATATGGATGAGTGGTGATCATGAGTGTCTTGGGGGATGTGACTATGGGATTTATGTTGGGGATTGTTTATGTTGGGTTGTGACTATTGTTTATGCTTTGCCTTATCTGCCTTATCTGTTGTGAACTGCATATGTTGTTATAACTGTTGCTCGTGTCTGGCCTTATCTGTCGAGTCATTCCCGGTTTTAAAAGCTAGAGTTCGTAGGATATATCTTCATGCTCAAAATGGTTTTCGTATATCTATATATATCTCTATATGTATTGTATTTCAACGCGTTGGAGTGGGTTACCAGCATCTCTCGCTGAACAGATATATTTGGCTTTCAGGCACAGAAGAATAAGTCACTGGAGCGCGCTAGAACTTGGAACGTAGGAGTAGATAGTTTCCCTTTTCGGCCTGCGTGCCATGCTTATGCCTTTACATTATTGAGGATATTAGTTAGTTAGCCTGTGCACCTGAGTTCTCTAGCTTAGGTGTGGCATAGCACCCCATACTCTTGTATTATGTTTTGGGATTTAATGGGATTTCACCTTTATTTTATAAGTTTTAAATGTCTTGAAAATCTGGGGTGTTACAGTTGGTATCAGAGCTTAAGTTTGACCCTAGGATAAGACTCTTAAGACCGGACTTTAGGACACTAGGCTTGAACTCTAGGTACTTAGGAACATAGGATCCAGGAATCTTAGGACGCGCAGTAAGATTGTGAAACCTACACATAACCTCCCCTCACTTCATCCCTCTCTAACTTAAAGGAACCTCCCCCTACGCTTACCACACCAGGTAAGGGTGCGAATAGATAAGTTTACTTCAATAACTGGGTAACGTACACTTACCCGATAAATCGCCTCGTCCTAACTCCCGTCAAAAGACTTGACAAGGACCCTGACCAAAGAAAAGGAAGATTTGGATGACTACTAAGAAAAGGCGTTACAGTCAGGACTGCTAAAAGGTACGGACTGCAATACGCACCAACCCAGGGTAACCACGATAACCCCCGAGTCAGACAAATGACATGCACCTTCCGACAAGTTGACCTTATCTCGGCAAACCCGGGTTGCGGCTACAACAAACAGGAAGGAGAACTAGGACACCTATTAAAGTAGCAAAGGAACGACACCATTAGTCGAATCCTTGGGTGCAAGGTAAGTATATCGCGACACCTTGCGACCCCACCACTCCAATTTAAAATATCATCCGCCCTGAAACCCCAGCATCTTGATACCCCTATTTGTTGAAAACTCCCACCCCGAATCCTTGATTACCTTAAGAGCAAATTCGCAACCGTCATGACCTTGCTCACCCTTTGTTGCGCTTAACCCAAACCCTCGGAAATCCTAAATTGTTATTGCCCTTACTCTAAGTTCATATCCCCACTCCGTTTGGAAACCCTGTTAAAAACCGTAGAGCAGCATAAGGCCCTTACCCTGCCCAGGGGCGTGAAGAACCGACATTCATTGATTCAATATTAAAATAAGTTGTTTGATAGGAATCGGCGAAGTAGGTGGAGGTTACGAATACGTATCACCCCACCCTTGCACGAAAACCGTGAAGGTTTCACGAGAAACCATAGCCTGTACGTACGCCACCGAAGAACGC